CAACCAGGGGTTCAGTTTCTTGCCCAAGGATACATCGACATGTTGACTTTACTGGGCTGGGATCGGACCCACAATGCACCTCTTTACCTCCCCCCCCCCCCCCCTCTTCCTCCCCCATCCCAGGGACCATGCAGTGTTTTCTCTCCAGAGGGAGGAGGGTAGAGACTTGGATGTTTTTGTACAGAATCCTGTGTGACACAAGGCGCTTTTTTCTCAGTGCCCCTTTTTTCCAAAAACAATGACCTGCAGGACGTTTCTCCACGAAGAAGAAGAAGAAGATGATGAAGATGATGAAGAGGAAGGGTCTGCATGATTAACTCACACCACGGTTTGTTCTTTAACTCACGGGTGCTTCAATCCAAACCGACCTCGGTACTTTGGTCTCTGCACGGCGTCGCCTCCGGGACTTATTTTGTCTTAAAAAAAATGTAAAAAAATAGAAGCCATTTTTAACTGTTTGTACAAAATGAAGTAGTCGTTTTAACCTTTTTTTATGATTTTATTTCTCGGCTTGTTGTTGTACCAAATATTTGACTTCCACTGGTGAACAGGTACATAGAGATTTTTTTGTAACACAACTGAAGCACAAATTTGGATTTTTGCTTTTAAGTTTTGACGATCTGTAGCGGGAATGTGAATAAGATGTTTTAGTAGTTTTAATATCCAAGAAAATACAATATGACACACAGCGGGTGCATCTCAATTCCCTTAATTGCATCCCAATGTGTGCACAGCGGGTGCATCTCAATTCCCTTAACTGCATCCTAATGTGTGCGAGGAGAGATTCAGGAAAAGAAGCAAAGTCTTAGAGAAATGAGACGAAATGTATACACACTATTTTTATCGGTAATACTTGAAATCCTTAACTGAAATACTTGATTTGTTTCCCTATGTATTGATATTATTTCTATATTAAAAATAATACAGATAATAAGCACAACGTCTCATATTTGTCTGACAATTTAAAGTAGCTTTTGGAAAGTTGTAAATACATTTAAAATCAGGACATACTTTTCTTTATACGTGCGGGTTAAAACAATTATCATGTGTTTTTTAAGCTGAAAGACTGCCATAAATGTTAAAAGAGGAAATGACAGATCATAAAAAGCAAGTTGTCTTACAGGTTTCTTTGTTAATCACACAAACAAATCCAGAGGTTAATAGCATTTGATCAAATATAAAAACATATACTTGAAGTTAGACTTTATTCTCAATCTTATGTTTCCTCCCTGGCTTTAATGCTCTGCAGTAAGACAGACATGAGATTAAAAGGAAGTTATATACGAGACATTTTATTCAAATCTAATGATCAGCTAACCCTTCGTTGAATTTAGAGAGCATCTAAGTTACTTCTGTTAATTGTCACTATTATAAAAATGGGGAATAATCACTCAGAAATGCAGAAATCTGACTCAATGAATGAGCGATGTTTTGGAAACAAGGAACAAATAAGAGAATTGAGATGCACCCACTGACTGAACACAGGGTTTTAGCTGTCAGATGTGAATTCGATGCATTTTCTCCTGCGGCCCCTTCACTGTTTTGTCCCCCCAGCAGTAAACAAGGAGAACCCTAACACCCCCCCCCCCCCTAAAGGTCTTAAAGGTCACCTATTATGCAAAATGCACTTCCTCATGTCTCTTCTACATCAACATGTGTCCCCTCTTCTTCATGTCTCTTCTACATCAACATGTGTCCCCTCTTCTTCATGTCTCTTCTACATCAACATGTGTCCCCTCTTCTTCATGTCTCTTCTTCATCAACATGTGTCCCCTCTTCTTCATGTCTCTTCTTCATCAACATGTGTCCCCTCTTCTTCATGTCTCTTCTACATCAACATGTGTCCCCTCTTCTTCATGTCTCTTCTTCATCAACATGTGTCCCCTCTTCTTCATGTCTCTTCTACATCAACATGTGTCCCCTCTTCTTCATGTCTCTTCTACATCAACATGTGTCCCCTCTTCTCCATGTCTCTTCTACATCAACATGTGTCCCCTCTTCTTCATGTCTCTTCTACATCAACATGTGTCCCCTCTGTGGAAAGAGACTCTGAAAGTTTCAGGAACAAAGCTTCTCTCTCTTTTTGTCCTGATCCATTTCTATAAAAACCTGTCTGAAAATGAGCTGATCAGATTTTGGCCACTTTATGATGTCATAACGATGTTTTGGCTTGTGTAACCATTAGCCAATCAGCAACCCCCCCCCCCCCACCTTATCACCTGAATCTCCTCCTAGAGCACCATTGTGTTCTTTTTAACCAAATGTCTCTCAGAGGGGCGTGGGGAGGGGCTCCTTATTTTCATCTAAAGTAACAGACAGAGAATCAGCACTTTTGAAACAGGGCTGAAACAGAGGGGATTATGGGATGCTGCAATGATCTGTTTGGTGTTTCAGCCAATCAGAGACAGGCTCTGTATATATCTGAGACCTGTGATATATTGATGAAAAACAGTACAATAGGGGACCTTTAACGTCCACATCCTCCACAAAGACCGACCAGATTTCGGTTGTTTTAGTTCCTTGTGGTATTTATTATCTCTTACATGATGGTACAAATACTGCCAGCACTTACAATGTAAACACAGGCCTTTTGACCACTCCCCCCTCCTCTCTCTCTCCCCCCCCCCTCACCCTCTGTTTGTCTACCAGCTATGTGCCACTGTCTGAAATGTGTCCAGTGCCTTGATGTCAATTTAATTTTGTTTTTCTTTCACATCAAATCCTTTGTTAGTAGATTATAAAACTCTGGTGATTAAAGGACCAGTTCACCCAAATGTCTGGTGGTATCGAGCCGTGCACGTTGTCCAGGGTTTTGAGATATGTGTGTCAGATTTATGAAATTAAAAAACGTATTTTTTGTATGTTTTTTACATTAACATTTTCTTGGGTTGGCTTTATTTGTGGAGCAGAAACGATGAGTCAATCAACAGGATAAACATCAGATACTTTTATAAAAAGTATACTAATTGTTTGTCTTTCTTCGTGCAATTCTCACAGCGTTTCACATGCGAATATTTGCTGGTTTTTTCAGCTTTTCCAGTATTAAAATAGTTCAAAGAAACATTTTGAATTTGTTTATTTGGCAACACCTCTTTTCTTCTATTGATCACTGTTCACTTTTGATTCATTACTTATTGTTTTTAGCCCCACAAACGTTGTCTTGAAGACAGAAATGATCTGAAAACTTCGACAAATGCAAACCAAACCACCTGCACGACGACCACCAGACGCCAAATGTTGTTTTTATGCAATTTAGGGTGAACTGATCCTTAATTATGAGCATCATAATGTGGACGGTTAGTATTCAAATACACGTTAATGAAGAGTTTGCTCTGCGTGAGTGACCAATATGCAGATGATTGTTATTTTTGGTGAATGATGTCTCACTCCACTGTTTCTCTCCTCTACTGCTGATATTTTATATTTTTACTGTCAACAAATCCCCCGAAAAGACAATAATTCATACTTAAAATCACAATAAATCCTTTAACAATGTCCCAAATACTTGCTTTGATTTGAAAGGTCCCATGTCACGACCATTTCTACTGATCATAATTCCATTGTTGAGGTCTACTAGAATAGATTTATATTGTGCAATTTTCCTACTTTTAGCGGCGGATTCATCCACACTGTTCTAATGAAGCAAACATGTCACCGTGTGCAAAAGTGTGGTTTTATTTTAGTGTTTTTAATAGTTTTTGGACACAAATGTAGCTCTATAGCACAAAGGGAGAAGATATATCTGGAATGTATTACTTGATCTTTTCGAGGGCTTTGCAGACAGTAATACAATATCTCCAGACTTTCCTTTGAGTTGTGTGTATGTGTGTGTGTGAGAGTGGGTGTGTGAGGGTGGGTGTGTGTTTGAGGGTGGGTGTGTGAGGGTGGGTGTGTGTGTGTGTGTGAGGGTGTGT